GACAGAACAATTTTATCAAAAATCAGAGATTCACATTGACAGATGATGAGCAAGCAAAGCAATGCAAGGAGAGCAACTTGAATGTGAATGCAAAAGTGGAGGCGGATGTCGAAGTGAAGTCAGGAGGAGACACTAGAGAGAGCGAGCATATTTTTAACGATTTGCAGGCTTTAAAAGAGCTGGAAAAAGCACGACTTGGTGACCGCGTGCTTGAGAATGTGAAGAACAAGCAGGAGGTTCTCAACATTGACGAGGAGGCAAAGGTTAAAAACAACTTGATCTCCAGGGAGCTTCGTAACATTAAGAGAGGTATGCTATCGATGAGAGGGAACACGTCGGCTAAGAGAAAAATATTTACAGAGAAGGAGCAGAGCAAGCAGGAGGTCTTCACAAAGGTAGACAGTAACGTCATTGTGAACAAAGCACTTCTAAATGATAATTATGACAAAGCTAAAATGGCACTTGAGGAGATTATCTCAGAGCGGGAGAGAAGGAATAAATTTACAGAGCAGGAGGCTGTTGTAGCATCTGAAAACAACATTCTAGATGAAGGTTGTGAAATATGGTTACAGAATAGTAAAGCTCATAAAGACTGTATGACTAGACCAAGAGAAGAAAAGAAGAACAGCACTTCTCCACGTCAGGAGAAAAAACAAAAACAGAGATTAGGGGACTTAAGAGTAATGAGCCAACCTAGACCTGCTGAGACTTTCGGACTTGGAAGTAGGGAAGCTCTACTGGACAAAGCAGGAAGTGAGCAAAATCTTTGCCTAAAGGTTAAAGATAAAGATGTTGGAGAAAGGTTAGTTGATAATCATGCTCATAATCGCGATGCCAGTTTACCAGAAACAGCAGGGCAGACGCATAAAGAAAGTAAGGACTACTTGATGAATGAAAGGAAAGACAAAGGTTTAAATGCTCCTCCTGTTCCACCAAGGAGCAAGAAAGGAGTCAGCAGAGGAGATGGGAGCGCAACAAGTGACAAAGATCTGGTGGATGGCTGTGGTAAAAATGACAATTTTGAAAGGCGTGAAGAGGAATCGTGTGACATCAGGACAGGCCCTAAAATATATGTAAGCACAGAAACTGAGGAAGCTCTACCTAGTCAGAGAGAAACCTCTTTAAAAGAGAGGGAGGATGAGGTAAAAAACAGTACAGCAGTGGCGTATGGGTTAGTCAACAATTCAGTGATCAACGCTAGTCCAAAAAGAGAAGTCACACCTGGGAGCCATGCTAACACTCAGGAGTCCTGCAAGGTGAAACGGAAAGCCCCCTTTAAACCAGACTCTTCAATTAAACAAGATGACGATCTGATCAAGAACTTCAAACCAGATGAACCTTTCAAAATAACTAGTGAGGATATAACTATAGACGCAGAAGAACTTGGTGAAATCCCCAGAAACATTGTATCACCTTTGCTGCTGATAAAAAGCGTCAGTGTTGCACAGAGCCCACCTGATCAAGCGAGCTTGTCCTCCAAATCCTCCTACTTCTCTGTGGAAAGTACACTGCACAGAACCACAGAGACTGAGTCAAACGTCTTCCACTCTTTAGAGAACTCACCAGCTGAGGTGGAGGAGGTGATACAACTGGGACGGCCTGTTTCACGAAGCAATTCAAACGGAGGTGGGGTGGGGTACTGTTGCTTAAGCGATCACGAAAGCGAGCTGGAAGGCATGAATAAATGCTTGAGTTCCACACCGAACCAACCAGACCTGCAGCATATGGATAGCATGGATAAAAACATTGTCATCTCAGATGAAAGGCTTGTCAATGAAGAGAGCAATTCAACAACATCCTCTTCCAGTACTTTTTCTCCAATTTTGGGAATCCCGGCCTTGTTCAAAGTCAAAAACAACAGTTTTAATAGCAAGACAAAGAAACCTGTAATACCCTGGTCACCAAGAGGTAGTAACAATGTAGAGAAAATAGAGAAAGAGTTAAATAAGACAAGGGAAAACCCTGAGCTCTCACTGGCAAATGACTCTTCTACCAACAATGTCATCATAACTCCACCTGAAGTCTTTAAACCTATGGAGTTTTCAGGAAGCAAATCACCACAGTTCTTGACAGTGTCCTCAAATGTCCAAAATGAAAGCCCCAAGACATCCCAAGTTGGGAATTCTCTACTTGTCCCACAGGAGGAAGAAAGGTTTTTCAGGGTGACCCCATCATCTGAAGATATTGAGAGTTTACCAACTAGTACTGCTGACCCAACTGATGATGCAGTGACAAATGCTAACCTTCTTGAAGAGAGTGAAATGACAAAGGACATCAGTGAGCAATCAGGATTTATTGTCAGTGGTAATGACAATCAAATTGGACTGCCCAAACCTCCAGCAGTCTTGCCAAAATCTGAAAAAGCAGTTCAAAAAGCCATTAAACTAACAAACAGAAGGATGAAGAAGGAAGAGTCCCAGAAATCATCACAAAAGTCATCTCAAAGCAGCGGCAAACATCGAGCTGAAAAGGTGAGGAGTGATAAGTCGGAGCACAAAAGCAGTGGCAATACTAAAACTGGCAGGAGTGGTGAGAAAAAACATAAAGATGGCAGTCGTCATAATTCAAATAACCACAGCAATGACTGCAATCCCCAGCGTGAATCCCACAATGAGAACCACAACCAAAACAAAGTAGAAACAAACAGGACCCGGAGGCAGAGTCGGGATTCAGTGGAAGGCAACCGCCAAAGAAACGATGAACGACCCAAACCGGCATCGGAAAGACAAGGTCGGAGCACCGACAGACATCCTCGAGAGAAGCCAGAACACAGAGATTACAGCAGTGACAGCGTCATCAGTAATGTGCCGGTGTATAAAGCCCATATCAGCGAGAGGCCCGTGTCAGACAGACCTTTCAATCGTTCTCAGAGCACTGACAGGTACCTGAGAGGTAAAGTGGAGCGTAGGCTTAGTGCTGATATCCCAGCCAGTGAAAAGCTTGAACCCAGGACTCAGCGCATTGAGAAATCCATCATAAATGAGCTTCAACAGAGAGGCAGAGCCGCCGACAAGCAGAGCAGAGGTGCCCCCCTGAGAAGGAGTCAAAGTATTGATGCATACAGCACTGAGATTCCGCCTCTGTCCCGCCAGTCAAGCCAAACCAGCCAGTTTTCTCATCAGTCTAGCCTGGAACACGCCATTCTCACGCAGTCCATCCCTATGACCCAACGAAAACTCCTTCAGGATCCAAACTCAGGGCAGTACTTCTTTGTTGACCTGCCAGTACAAGTGAAGACGAAAACCTTCTTCGATCCCGACACAGGAAGCTATGTACAGCTGCCAGTTCAGCCCCCAGATGGTGGTGTTCCTCAAGCGCCTCACGTAGAGGTCCTGACTTCGCCACTGGTTGTTTACCACAGCTTCGTGCCGGTTCCTCTGTCCCCCATGGCTCCGAAAGCCAAAATCCAAGCAGCGCTTGTGGAACCAAACGGGTTAGAGCAGAGGCACCAGGAAAGGGGAAGGAAAATGCATATTAAAGAGGGACAGCCATACCTAGAGTCAGCCTACGGTCAACAGGACCTGATGTTAGGGGAGTTCTTGGGGACAGAAGAGCTGGACTGTCCCTGCTGATGTTCCCATAGTTTCACTGCATTGTGGTGTTTGTTGCATTCTTGTGATGTTCTGTCATGGTTTGACCTTTTTCAACTGATCTTAACTTCTTTTACTTTAGATTTCCAACAGTTTCCAGATGTTTTCTCCCCAATTTTTTATTTATATTTTTTAAATTTCAGTAGTAATTTACCTGAAAACACCACGAAAATAAGACTTGAATTGCAAAGCACACCATTAATGCAGTGTTACATTGCATTGGTGCAATATAACACCTTTGTTACTCCTTAACTGTAACTCCTTTGTCTCAGTTATTCCCCTATGAATGTTCTCGGAGCATTCATGGAGGAGTAAACGTTAATGGTATGAACTTTTTCTGCTTGACTTTTTGTTTTTTGACTTTGGCTGACCTGAATTTTTTGCCAAGGCAGAGAAGAACGTGTCCGAGCCTCTGCAGCATCTGCATAGAGGAGTGAGTCTGAGTCGAGCACATATTTGGAAGAAATATCAATTTTCGTATCGCTCGTTTCTGTTTGCGGATGTAAAAATGTAAACTCATGTTGAAATGAGTGGTGTCTGATGAGAAAAAAACCCGACACAATGATGTAAATATATTGCCGTTTAAACCGCAAAGACATGCTTCAAGGTGAGATGTTTATATTTTGTAAATGCTGAAAAGTTTGTAATACACCACAGAAGTAGTAATAAATCGTCACTTATTTTCAGGTATAGTGGGGTTACTTAAACTTACTTGAATCCATCCAATACTTAAAATAGCAATTCAAAATGTTCATACTGCTGATTGTTGACTGTTAACAACCACATAAAAATCATTTTTAAGACATTTTGCGTGTTTGATCAGCCGTCTGCCGAATGTGTTTCGAACGCTACAAATTCCAGTTGTTATGGGAGTTTGCGTTCACCGATTGTTTTTCAGATGAGCAGAAGAATTGGTGCAAGTTTTTTTTTTTTTTTTTTTTTGCATTTGCATTTTTCACAGCTAGTCGAGCAGAGCTGTCTTGTGCCTGTGATCCATTCCACTGAAATAAACAACTGTTTTTAACAGAGCTCAGCTGGACTTCTTTGTCATCAGAAATTAACCGGTTTTTAGGTTTCACTTATGAAACCTGAAAACCGGATCTTAGGTTTCTGTTACTTTTTTTTTTTTTTTTTTTGCAATAGCATCAGTTAAATTTAGAAATTTTTCGCTGTCCAAGTGCCATATTTTTGACAAGGAGACAGATATGGGGCTTGTCCTTCAGGCTTTTACTTTTGCCAATGTACATGTGTTCAAGGTGTGACTCTACAATGCCACCTACTGTCCACATTCTGCAAAGACTCCAACTCTCCTGGAAATATACAAACTAAATACAAAACATGTTGGGAACTAAAACTATGCAGTAATAAATGTCTTTCCATGCAACATCAAATAAGATCTGTAGCAACCATAAGTCTTTGATCGCTGATTTATTTATTTTTAACTTAAAATGAACAAAAATACAAAGAACAAACAAACAGCCACTTCTTTAAAGTTATGCTGACAGGGAATTAGATTCTATAAACGACGTTTAAGTGCATAATATGATAAACATGAAGCTATTCATGCTCCTATCCTCTTCCTGTAGGCGTTCATGGCGAAAGATGGGTTAAACATTACAATGCAGTGCATCATAAAATATCAAACAATTTGATTAAAAAAAAAACTACATTTAAATAAATATCACAATATCGATGTCAGAACAGATATATGTTGATTCCTTACTATTTTGCGTTGGTCAGTCAGATAAAATCTCAATAAATTACCATAATGTTTGTGGGTGTAACAATTCTCAACTGTCAAACTGTAATTTCAATTGGAGATAACAGAACTATCATTATTTTATGCACGTTAAATAATAATCTGCATTGTTATCTAATCCCACTTCTCTTGGCAAACAGATAATACACATAAACATCAACTTTTTTAAAGTGTGAATAGAAAAGTTGTGTTGCCTCACTTCAATAACGCTTATTGATCAGTGAATACAGCGTCATGCTGTTTGTGCTGCTTCTTACCTTTTGACTTTAGTCGGCTCAGTTCTTGGTGTTTTTCTGCAGCAGCGAAGGAAAGCTTCCTTTGCTCTTCTCCAACTTTGACTGATTGATTGATCTAACGAGCCGTTTTCCACAACACCAGAGAATGTTTGGGTTAATAGCTAAGGAATCTTTTATTTCTTAAAATAAACCAATATTTAGACATATACAAGTAAACATGTTCTAACCAGCTCTAATCATGAGTTCTATAATCACATCTCAGAGCCGAACCGGGTCAGTGACAGCCGCAGCTGAGCGCCACCATGTCGTCATACTGCTTCAGGACCACGTTCTCCTCATCGTCAAAGTACAGCAAGCTGATGGACTGCAGTCTGTCGGGCACGCAGCAGGGGGCGCCCACGTCCTCCCCGGGCAGCTTGAGCGCGTGCATGATGGAGCGCACCGTGGCGTGGTTGGTGGCCCTCAGGCCCACGCCCAGCGGGAACGGGCACGAGCCCTTGCAGTGGTAGGCGTTGTAGCCGCGCGGAGAGATGATCCAACCCGACCAGCCGATCTCGTCGAAGTCCACGTAGAGGGGGACGCGCCGGCAGGACGGGGGGCGGCCGCGGGGAAGGAAGTCTGAGGACGCGCGTCTCCTCCTGCTGAGGTGGTCCAGAGGCTCAGAGGCTGCCGCTGGAGGAGGATGGAGACCGTTAGCGTGGCAATGGAGTTGAACTGTCTCAGGCTGTTGCCCCGTACTGACTCACCCAGGTATGACCGGTTCGCTTCAGTCCTCCCGTCGTCTGAGAAAACGACCAGGTAGGCGTTCGTGTCTGTCAACTGGAGCTGCTTGGATTCAGAGTTCATCCAGTCACCGGGGGGGAACGTCGTCACCACCAGGATGCCGTTGTTCTCCTGACTCTTCTGGATCCATTTAGACACCTGAGAATCACCAAAACAAGATTGGACTAAGTGAAAGCTGATTGGCTCCAAACTAGATATGCTATAAATCATTTCAGTGAAGGAGAGACGCTCCGATCCACTTTTTTCACTTCCGATTCCGATATCGGAGGTTTAGAATCGTCCAATACCGATCCTAGACAGAAAAACTGCACTGCACAGACTTGTTTTTTTCCCCCCAACATATAAATGTACTGATTTGATTTGCCCTGTTGGATCAGACACATCGTCACCGATCCCCGATCTACAGCTTTTGTCATTATCAAAGTTAATATCAGACCGGTGAATCTCTGCTGTGAACATTTTCTGTTACCAGCTGAGTGACATTGAAAACCTCCCATCCCTGTGTGTAGAGGGACACCAGCCTGGACGTGACGAGGTTTCCTCTCTGGACCTTCAGTCTGCTGTCTGGAACTTCGTATACGTCCACCTGGACCAGAAAACGCAGCAATGTTGGCTGACGAAAAACTTATGTCAAGGTGTTTTTCGGGGCTGCTCTGGCATAAATTATTGCATTTGCTCAGGTGTTCAGGAAGCCCTGGTTGCTATGACAGTAGAGGTGCAGTAAAAAAAAAAGAAATCTATTGATAATTGCTGTTCCTAAACCTGGGAATTTTGAATCGATTCAAATGTGTTTGCTGACGCTTCTTTTTCTTGTCTCACCTTTTCCTTCCACTTAACTTTCCATATTCAGCTATATTCAATAGACTATTAGTCCCGATGAGAAAGTTTGTTTTGAAAGTAAACTCTATGCAAGTATTAAACATGATTTTCTTTAAGCCCACATGACTTTTTAAAGTCTTTTAATTGCCTTGATGTCATATTCTGATTTTAAATGTCATGTTGTCATTACCTGTAAGCAAAAACAAGTAAAACATTTCTGTGAATCATAATCTCCAGAAACATTACTTCTCTGCACCACACTGGGACAAAGCATCAAAAGTTGATTTTTACACGTGTTGCATATTCAATAAAAGTTTGAAGTACATTCTGCAAATTCACCCAAGTCAAATAATGGGGACTTTTAAGAGTCACCTTGTAGAAGTGAGGCCCGTAGGAGTTCCCCAGGTAGAACTTGTGTTTCTTTCGGAACCAGCGGAATTCAGCTTTGATCATTTTCTCCTCTCTGCCCAGAGAGGACAAGTTAAAGAAGTGGATCCTCTGGCCGGTGTGTCCTGCAGACCACAGAATGCAGAAGAAACAAGATTGGCTGCATTTGCTCAAGAAAAACCAGTCAAACGGACTAATGTCCGTGTGCAATTGTTTCTTTCCCCGAAGATTTTACGCACTGACATCCGCACCTTTCGATGCAAAAAAAAAAAAAACCCTTCCTTATAAATAAACAAATGCACAATCTTTTTTTTTCTTGTAAGTCTATAAAATACAATAAAGTTTCCGCCCACCTTTATCCTGATAACTGCGCACCGTGTTCCCCTCCAGAATCTCCTTCTGGCTCCTGTGCGCCCCGTCGGCCACGGACACGGCGTCGAACAGGTCCAGCATGAACTGCGGCGCCTTCTTGCGCGGAGGGAACGCAGGGGCCCGGGGGAAGTCCTTCAGCTCGAAGGGCGCCTCGTCCGGAGCCCCGCCGGGCACGCAGCTCAGGTGGAGGGCGGCGAGCAGGAGGCAGAGGGAGACGCGCAGAGCTCCGGCTGGCATCGTTCACACACAGTGGACTGAGGACCGGCACCTGCGCCGCCTGGGGAGGACGGGTCAGGAGGACAGGAGGGAGAGAGAGGGGACAGGGTGGGGGGACAGGCTGGGGAGACGGGCTGCCCCTGTCTTCAGAATTTGGTCCTGATTGATGACAGAAGAGGAAAGACAAAGAGAAGGTGAAAACGAGCCGAGAGTCAACTAAGATAAAAATTAATAAATAGACAAATGACTAATTTTCCGTTAATCTCTACGTAGTTTGACCTTTTCAACCAGTTCCTACACTGCAAAACTCAATTTTGGAGCAAATTAAATATAAGCCAGTAGAATTATTAGACCTCATTCCTGCTTATTTATTTGAGTAACTGTAGCCAAACACAAAATGTTCCTTATTTGTACAGTGAATATTGAAACAATTCAGTGTAATTGATCTGAATTATTTTTTTTCATTTATAGTGTGAAGGTTTGTTCTCTTGGTTTTCACGCTGCAGAAACACATTTTACAGGGCATTAAATATGCAATAACGAGCTATAATCAAGCCTATTAGTTTGCACATTAATGTTCAGACATAAATATATTTCCTTAGTAATGCTGTTAGTGGGTTAGGTCAACATAATTCCAGATAATCCAACTTGTTTAAATCAGGCGCGTTACGTTGAGCTTTAAACATTTTGCAGAACAATTACATTTTTCCTTCATAATTATGTAGTTTGGAGTCTACATTTGTATGTTGTTCAAATGATTTTGGAGGATATTGAATATTGAACTTAAGCAATCTGGCTTTAAAATGCAGCGTTCAAAACAGCAACGTTAGGCGAGCATAAACATTCAGATTAGGATTTGATGGAAGCCGTTCTGAATGTTTTTATGAATTAATATGTCAACACGTGGCTGAGGAAGATTCTGTGAAGAAGAATGAAAGCCCGTGTCTGGCTGTCAGCTAGCTAGCAACAGAGCTAATGCCACGGGCAAATTTAAACAGACTTCATTCGTGTCGATTAAAAGTTCAAGGGAGTGCAGAGAACACGAGAATAATAATGAATCTTCCATAAAACTGTCAGGAATTAAATTTTGTTCAGAAACTTCGCTTTAAAAATGTTAATGTATGTGTGTCTGATTTGGTAATTATTCAGTTTTTTCCCCTGAAATACCATGTATGTTGCAAACAGTGCAGAAGTCCTGACAGATTTAAAACTGTCCATGTTCTGCAGACTTTCAGTCCACGTCAGAACAAATGTCACAGATTAGGCGTTACTACTTTAACGTGATGCATAAACTTGTCGCGTTGTGATGTTTTGTTGCTGTTCCTCCTCTTCATGCGTTTCTCCGGCCCAGTTTCCTGTTATCAGCATCAGGCCAGTCGCAAGAGAGCAAACGAACGGCGGAGCAGTGACGCACATGAGGCGCGTTTTCAAAAGCCACCTGTTAATGCTCACTTTTCCACAAAACCCGAGCCATGGTCAACATGGCCGCCCCTCCTCCCACACCCCCTACCCTGCTACTATTTGAACAGGGACTTATCAGAATGACGGGTTTATTGCCTCCCCCTCTTAAGTCGATTCCGAGATCATCTCTGATCAATCAGTCATAAAAGGGATCAAATTCCCAAGAGCATCAGGCTGATCAGTCATCAAATCCACGATGATCCCCTCATTTAGGGGCCGTCGCTCATGTTTGGGGTCCCTTTCCTTTATCGCCTCAGAAGCAAGCGCATGTCAGGTCGCTGAGCTGCAGGATAGATTATGGTCATAAACTCTGCAAACAAGGCGGCGGCCCACAGGAGGTCAGGTGATGATTGGATTTGTCTGCAACAAAAGCCGTTTTTGTGCAGCATAAGATTCTTTTTGTTGTGGAAATGACAGGTTGCAACTGCATACAAAGAGCCAAATGATGGAACTTTTGTAGGAAGCATTAACAAGAAATGTTAATGCATCTTATCGAGAGTTTTTGGACAGTATGGTTTTAAGATTGCATGCAAAACAGCATGTTTGATGGAACTGTGATCACCCTGAACGCACCGTGAGACATGGTGTTGGAAGTACCATCTGTTGGGGATGTTGAGCGCCCCCAAGGCATTTCAAAATGCTTCACATCATAAAAACACAAAGTCATAGGACACACAGTTGTCAACATTACATTTTGCACATCAGATTATTGATTAATGTTTCATGATTAGGTTTCAAAAACAACTCCAATGGAGTTATGTTCCATGTAAACGTGAAGAAAACAATGTAGATATAAATATCGATACAAATATCTCCAATCATATTTCACACCGAAATCCATTCCAGAAAGTCCAGCTGAGTTATGAATCAGAGAGATGGTGGAGCTGCATTAACTTTTCCAGGTTTCTCCGTGTGTGTGTGTGTGTGTGTGTGTGTGTGTGTGTGTTCAACATGTGAATGAAAATCACCTTGAAACTGGATCAATTCTAATAAAATTCATCCTAACATGCATTATACATCATGCGTTCCTTACATAACCTGAAAAATATTTTTAAGTATCTCTTTACACTCCTTTAGCCATCAAATTGAACATGAATGTTTTTGCCTTATTTGTAGATATTTTTTTGATTTAGATGAATGCAATTCTACCTTTTTGCCACTAGGTGGAGCCATTTACTTGGGTATAAACACGAACCAAATTTTTTATTTCCTCTGAATAATTTATTCAGTTTGCAGTTTGTCATATTATGCCATTAATATGAATAATTTAGGAGTAGAGAATAAATATTTGCAAGGATTTTCAAGTTGGATTCTGAGACCCTGAATGCTTTAAAAAACGTTTCTCCTTACTCTGATGAATATGAACGTGCAAACTTCATCTTGCAACAAGAGAAATGTGCTGATAAGTCCAAGTCAGCTGTAGGAGTGGATCCCGTTGCCGTCTGTGTTCTCTTCTCTCCGCCTTCACCCCTGGCCGCCTGGCTCCACATCTGACGGCGGTGCCCATGTGTTAATGACTTCACCTCGTGTTAAACACCTCCCCAGATGTAATTAGACACACATGGAAGGCATTCGCTGCAAATGCTGGAAGCTCCTGCAACTCTGCCCCGGTGAATAATGAAGAGGTTTACAGGCATCTCCAAAGTGGAAACACATGACCTGAAGTCCGTCACAATGCAGCGCGCTTCCTTTTCTCCTGGCCTACCTACCGCCTCCAGCCTCAGGCTGGAGGGGTTGATCTGATTGTCTTTGTGTCTAAAATGTTCTACGTAGCTTGGATTTTCCATCTTTCATTGATCTGATTATAATGGAACTAAATTAATAAATACACACTCCTAATGTTCTAACCATGTTTCCAATGATACTGAGTCCTATGTAGTTATGGGCAGGTTATTGATATCAAGGCGTGCCAAGGTTTAAGTCATTATAATGATATACCACATAATGTTCTGGGGTTTCCAGACTTTTACCTGACGCTAAGAAGCACAAAGCAACAATATTGCACATAAAGACAGACTGTGGAAGAACCACAGTGCTGGTTCTGTTGGACCTCAGCTCAGCATCTGACACTGATGACCATGACATATTGTTGAAATGTTGGCTTGACGATACACTCAGACTCGTTGCCATAGCAACTGACAACAAGGCAGCTTTATGCATCAGGATTCAGCACCAAAAACACTCAAACGTTATCCTACATAGAACAGGACATTCAGTTACAGTTTGGCGTTTTTGTGCTTGATGTGTATTTTGCTTTTATTAGTAAGTGATCACTGTGGTGGATTAGCCACCACTATTAGCCATCGCTAACACACAGATTAGCTGATTTAAAGACCTGCTTTACTGATGATCTGTCCAAAACACACCTTCTTCCACAGCACATCTATTTGTTAAGTTTGCCAAAGTCAAGAATAATTGATCTACTAAATTCCCCCTCACTATTTTCTTTCTCAGTTAAAACTTATTTCTCACCTTGTTATCTAGTCTTGGTGTGGACAGTTCATAGCAAAACACTGAATCCCTTTTTATATGAGCTTACATTTAAGTCTAACGGGGAAAAGGGGGCAGGAACTGCCTGGGTGACATCATGCTGCAAGGGATCTGTAGTTTAAAACAACATTGGAGCTCATTTAAGAATATTGTGATATATATCGTGTATCGTGAGACAGAAAAAAATACATCAGAATATTAGATTTTTCTCACGTCCCCCAGCCCTTGCTGACAGTGTCAAAAACTGCACTGAGGTCCAAAAGAACCAGCACTGTGGTTCTCCCACAGCCCGTATTGATGTGGATATCTATGAACACTTTTACAAGCACAATCTCTGCGTTGTGGTGAGCATAAAATCCAGACTGGACGGAGTCAAAGCATTTGGTTATTGTTGGGAAGCTATTTAATTGTTTAAGCACAACTTTTTCAATAACGTTGCTGATGAATGGGAGGTTGGAGATCGACCTTTAATTATGCAGTTGTGATTTGTCCACTTCAGGCTGTTGACCTGTGAGCCTTTGTTAGCACAGATGTTTCACTGCTATATGGAACTATTCAAAACTTCAGCGGTGCAGGTTTAATAAAGCACAAACATCAAATGCACCAATCCAGTTTTTTACTTCTGATACCGATATCTCAAGTTTAGTATCCGATACGGAAAAAAAACATTGCTGAATTAACTTAAAATGTTTCTGTCTTTCTTTTAAAAAAGAAAAAAAAAGAAAAAGAAAACAGGCATAAATGTGCACATTTACTTCATTACTGCAGCTGTACACATAAATACACTAACAGCTTCACAAGCTTGGTCAAACATGTGAAAACGACTTAAATTTGTTTGGTCAGTGCAATTATATGGACGTATAAACAGCCCATGTAAAACTCGAATAAAGAAACTGACAGACTAAAACAGTAGAGTGACTCGCTTGGTCAAACATGAAAAAAAAAATCAACTACAAAAACCCTTCTTTCAAGTGGTTCAAAAACCATTAGAAATTCCAAGTATAGACTAGATTTGCCCTTAAGGATTAGACACATTGTCACCAATACCGGATCTATAATTTTGTCAATAT